TGAATAAATACCTAATCTGCAGCGACAGAGGATGAGAGGTGGCGAGACACTGATGGACTTCGGTTGGGCCCGTCTGTGGACTATCTGCGCCGTATTCAAGCGCAGGTTTGTGTTTCCAGTCCAAACTAGTAGTCCGGATAATGATCAGCCGAATGAAGACAGAATAGGCCCGAAACAGACGGTACCAATCTGCACGCATTTTCTGTCCCTCTTTCTTTACAGGACTCCTCAGCCTAGCATACCGACTCCCCACAACGACGTGGGCGTATCCCCGTGATCTGTTGTAAGGGGCTGGTCCCCGCACAAAAGCCGGCTTCAGTATGGGGTGCGCAGCACAATGTAGACTTAGGAAATACTACTGGGGAAAGGTAAGCCTCGGAAGCGAACTGAGACACCAAATCAGCCTCAGCAAGTTTTTCTCTACTATTTGTTAGGTTTGAACCCATCAGAGGCCCACGTCCCACAAAGTTCCACCGGCATCCTCCGATTACAATGATTGCTTGTGAGTCCGCCTAATCGTATCGTCTAGTTCCAATTAAAAAATTATCCAGCACGTTATGATAACTACATGGTATTTTCAGAAGAAGATTCGACCACTGGAACAAGAGTTTATTATCTTACGTTTCGGATTCCGTCGGGAATCCTTAATAAATGGTACAATATTCTGAATAATGCGCAGATAGGGATAAATCAGATATGGTAAATCCTGCAACCGCCAGTTCCCGAACCTCCATGACGATATTACCACTGACCAGGATATAGCTGAAGTGGATCGCATCATTTTCTAAACGAAGCCTAAACTCCTCTTCCCTCCCCCCACGGCGTTGTCACCTGGTTATTAAATTTAATAGGCAACTGATTGAAAATCCAGCAGAGAATGCAACAAACTTTATTCAGCTAGGAAGAACTTTGGCGCTAAAAACATAAAATGCCTTAGAGGACACCTAGGTAGAGATATTTTCACTGATGAAGTAAATTGGAGAGCCAGCTATTTCGGGAAACCAA